GAGGGAAATGCAACAACTATAAATTCAGTGGAAGCAGAGGGGTAGCCGGGCAGCTCCGGGACTAGGCACCTGGAGGACCCACCTCCCCCAAAAGGTGGTACCCGACGCAGCTGCCCTCCCCTCGGTTACGTGGCCGAGTGGGAGATCCTCTGTGCTTATCTGTCCCCACATCAGCACTTCCAATGAGCTCAGGCAGTTAAGTTAGATCCCACGTTGTGCTAATGACAGGTCAGCCTTGCATGTAATAAAGACCAAGCCTTTGGGAACACGGGAGCAAGTGGAGCTGCTCCTTCCTTCCCAAGGCTGCCGGATGAGGCCAGGCCATCTACCACAGCTTTCCCTCTTGCTAAGCTTGACCACGGGAGCAGGAGGAGCTAGCCCCGAGGGAGTCACTCACCTGACAGACCCAGCAGCCCAGCCGCAATCAGAAGGAAAACGGGGAATTTCTCCTGCATCTTCTGAACCAGGCTGGTGGACTTGGGTGTAGAGACAAATTGCTGAGAGGTAGCAGCCAGCTAAGACAGTCCTGCTGCCTCGTGGGGATGGGCAGTCGTTCTGAAAGGGCAGTGTATTGGGTTACTTTATAACCGCTCAGGCCAGGGAGCAGCCAAAAACCTGTCCTAGTCCAGCCCACACCAACTGGAACATATTGATTGGTAATGAAGACAGCTGGGGAGGTCAACGGGGAGAAGGAGCCTGTCATTTCCTCTGTCTGAACTTCTTCAGAGGCAAGCACAAGGCTCTTCCAGTTGGTTTGGGGGGCTCTTTTCTACACCCTAATTTTTCAATGCCCGTGCTGGCCTCCCCAGTGCATGGTGCCAAGGTAAAAATCACTGCCCCTTCTTGCCACAGCTCAATAAGAGCTCTCACCGGGAGTAGACAAGTAGGCTGCCCAGGATGCTATCCCCCCAGCCTTGCCCCGTCCCCCTCCAGCCTGCACGCCTGGCTCCTAACCAGACAACTCTGCACGCAGCTGTGGGGAAATGCCTATTCTGGAACGAGCCCGGCTCACCGGCTGGCCTGGATCTCCGCACAGCACTTTACCCTCATCGTTCACCCCCACAATACCAGGTGCAAATTTTATCAGCAGTGATTTTCTATTTATTACCAGATCATTGGCAAAAGCAGTGAATAGCATTAGCTATAGCCAGGCAGAAACACCCCGAATCAGGAATCGGTGACGATCTCCAGGGACTACCTGCTTCTGAGGTCTGTCAGTTAGCCTGGCTTTAATCCCTCCAGCATGTGCCTTAGTTAGCAGTGAATGCTAACATCTTAATCAGAGCCTCATCTCAGATTTAGCCCCTGCCTGCCGCTACGATTGAAATCAGAAGCTGCCAGAAAGATAGGGGTTGTTTAAGGGGAGACGAGCCGTGATCATTTCCGTCCACCCCAACAAAGAAGAGAGACCTATAGAGGGTTTCTCCCTTGCGAGGGAAGGATGTTTAAGGGTTACAGCAGGACTTGTTCAGCACTTGAATTTCTCTGACAAAGGGGGAGAGTTAGGTTTAACCCCTGTCACTCGGGTGCTACAGGTCTCCGTTATTCAAACGCTGGGCAGGCGTTTTCAAGCTTCGTGGCTGAACGGCACTAGATGTTACAATTCATTGGGTTAAATATAAATGCAGAAGAACAATTGCATTCACCTCCGCTTCAGAAGCACTTGAGTAGCTGACGGCTGCTCAGCCGACAACTGTAGCCAACCCGTCTTCTGCCGGCAAAAGAAAATTGCAAAGCAATGCTTGATTACACCCAACACATGTTTGCTTAATATGATTTGAAATATCAGATGGAAAAAAATAATCCTCTTGGGCAGAGGGGTTTAAGCTCCTATCTAGCAGAAGGTAGGCGGATTAGGAGAGTGTCCTAATGAAATCTGAAAAGGTTGTATTTTTTTTTAAAAAAAAAAAAAACAAAAACCCGCAGCCTCACCGTGGCTTTTAACAAGTGCCTGCAGAGGAATCGCACCATCGTCGCCTGCCTACACCAAAGGGGCTGGAATCAGCCCTCTGCTTTGCAATTCAGGGCGAAGCTTATCACCGGTGCAAGTGCCACAGAGCAACGCTGTGCACACGTGGTGGCTTTGGCCTGGTTTAGGCTGCCATGATATCAGCAGCATCAGCTCAGGATACCTGAGCGGTGCCGCCTGCTCTCCTGTATCACAACCTGGGGTTAACGCAGGGCTTTGCTCCAGGCCTGTCAAACAGGAGTCTTCACCGGAGCTGAATTCACCTGGCAGAGAGTACTGCTGACTCACCGTGTGAAGGAGGCTGCCAGAAGATGAATTAACTCCTCCCTGCTCGGAGCTGCTTGCACTAATGCTTCACCATGGCGGGATTAAGGTGGGGATGGACAAGCAGAAAGGCTGCACAGCCAGACACTGAAATCATTTATATTCCCCAGTGGTGTGAGCAGGCACCAAAGGATTGTTTGTCGGGCAGCAGTCACAGCTGCAAGCCTCTCTTTTCCTCCCAGTGCTCTATCCTGGGTCGACAAATCCCGTACTCCCGATGCTACCTGCATGGTGGCAGCTGCGTCTGGCCAAGACCAGAGCAGCCCGCGGGGCTGAGCACTTTGGAGTGAAAAAGATTGTCCCAGACCCAGCTTAACTGCACAAGACCGAGGGCTGAGCATGGGGGAAGCAGCAAGTCGCAGCAACAGGCATAGGGATTGTGACGCTGCTTCCCTGCGGGCAGGCCACGTGCCAGGAAACTTCAGGAGTCCTGGAAGGAGACATCAAGGAGGTGGCTGCTGGCTCAGGAGACAAGGGGGACGTGGGGAGGGGGGGTGACAATAAGCCATTTTCTGCCCCTGCACTGTCCATGTAGTGCAGCTTTCAAGGAAATTGCTTTCCGGCAGCTTGCCAGAGACCGTGTCCCTCACTCTCGTATTTTATTCTGGTGCTAAAACTTCTGGCTTTGGAGATCAGCATACAGACATCCAGTTACAGATCAAAAGCTCAGCAACAAGCCAGCAGGTTTCACGAGAGCTCAGCAACGTGTGGAAAGACCGTCTGGAGATCTCGGTTCTGTGCTTAGCCAGGCCACGTCCCTGAGGTATAAATTGGTTCAGTCGCTTTGCCTCTCTCCCTGCCCAGCGCTGTCAACTCTTTGGAGTGGAGACTGCCTCTTTGATGTGCTGTACCGAGCGCAAAGCTGCCCCTCTCTCAGCTGGGACCTCTAGGCAACACCAAAAGTAGAAATGCATCAAGGTGACTTCCCCATTAAAATCTTCTGGCAGGCTCCGGACCCCCCTCCCCACGATCTGCTCCATGTATTCCCCCAGCCAGTGCACTTCTTGGTCTTCCTTGTGTACAGCTTACCTGGGCACCTAGCCTGTGCTGCAAAATGTTATCCAGGAGGAAGGTGTTAGGGGTCAGTGCAGGACAGGAGAGGCCACGCTGCAGCACGGCAGCAGCTGAGGTGTAATCGAACCTGTGCCAGGCTGCAATCTGGCAGGCAAGAACTATCAACACTATCTTCAGTGGACACTGAAGATGGGGTGCCAGTACTAAGTACCTGCTCCTCTGCCACTCAAGCTAAAGGAGCAACCCCATGTGCTGCTGGCTGCAGCCTTCCTGTGGGCCAGCTCCCACACGCAGTCATGAATTACCACACTGGAACCCAGGGCCAGGCCCCCCGTCAGCTCCCAGGCAGACAAACCAAAGGGATGCAGGTGCCCAAGTCACTTGGGGGCTTTTGAGAACGTGGAGTCCTCTGAAGAGGCCTATGGTTTGTGCACACCCCGTGCCCTCCATGCATCTCTTGTGATCACGGCATCCAGCAAGCTGTGTCCGTTTCTTCTTCTGCCTCACTCTGACCGCTGACTTTCAGCTTCTTGGCAGCCAGCAAGGAAGTGAGCGGGGACCAACACAGCAGTAATGTGTGCTTGCTGTTGCCAGGTCAGAGATCCTCAGCTGGCAGAAAGCGGCAAAGATCTGCAAAGTTACTCTAGCCTTAGCCCTGATTTCACATCATTTGCTCCCCTTTACTTCTCACTTCTGGCCTCGCCTCCCAAACCATTACCCAAAAGGAAACATTCACCTATGCTTGCTATATATCAGTGCAGACAGCCTGCCGCACACGCTCCGTTAATCATTTACCATCTGATTAGAAGCATTAGCACCACCTTCCGTAGTGAACAATGCAGGAACTCCGGGGCTGGGATGATCTATGCCAGGCTGCCCCTGCTGGCGTATAAGGAGTACAAATGCATCTCAGCACCCGCAGCAGTGCTGACCTCTCCGGCACAATGACACAGGTGCTGAAACAAGTGCCTTGCGTTCAGGTCAGACACCAGGAACAGAGAAGCAGAGAAGGCCGCAGCAACCATCTGTGTTACCTTCCCCGCTACGTACAGAAATAGGAACTTATCATAAGCCCCACACACCCTCTGCAGTTAAGCTACCTCCCCTGGTTTGCTCTCCGGGCTCTTGGCTTTCATACAGCAAGATCAGTAGCTGCTGCTGCACTCCCAGGGACTACTCAGGCCACAAAAGGTGCTGGATAAAAGCAATGTCTTACTCACCTCTGTCCTTTCCATCAGTTTAACAAGCTCTAAGTGGCCTAGAGAACAGACTTGGGCAGGGCAGGAGAGCATGGAGGGTCTCTGGAGAAATGACAGGGGAAGCTTTGGGCTCGGTGGGCGAAGGAGCTTGGAACATGCACAGCGGAGCATGTGCTGAGTCAGCACTGCCCCAGACAACACACTGATTCCTTGCTCCAGCTTCAGAGCTCTGCAAAAGCAGGGCTGCGACATATTTGTTTTATGGCACTAGATGGTAGGATGCAGAGACGGGGAGGTTAGAAAACCACAGAACACAAAGGTTGTGTGACCCTCTCCAGTGCAGAGGGGTGGAAGGCACTGCGCTCTTACAAGTCCTGCCCAGGGCAGGGGGTCAAACTCGATGACTTACTGAGGTCCCTTCCGACCCCAATATCTAGTATCTATATAAAAATCCTGCAGCAGATGGTTCCATTTGCCAGGGACATTTCGCTGTCTACACTTGCTAAAGAAGTGGCGCAAGAGCCAAGGGGCCGATTCCCCAGCTCAAGGCAGCAAACTGGGGTGGGGAGCAGGCCAGGTCTCTCTGCTTGTTTGCACAGCATTATAAGACTTTCCATAGTAGCTCCTTCAGGTGATAAAGGCACACTGGCCTCCTTATAGCTACTCCACAGGGGGAGGTAGAAACAGATCCATAAACTGGAATCATTACTGATGTACTTCTCTAGGTCAAGAATGGGAAGGGCAGAGCTAAAGGGAATTAGGTACCTAACCACTTGACTTTCAGTGAGATTTGGGCACCCACCTAAAACTTCTGGGAGGCTTCTTTAAAATCCCGGCCCAAGTTTTTAGGAAGCTCTCTCTGTGTACCCATTACTCAGCTCTGAATGTCATCCTGCCCCGGCAGTTGCTGTTGCAACTCCAACATGTCGTGCTTTTTCCTTTGTTGAATTCGGAGGGAGCTCTTCAAGAAGCCACTTGGACACTGAACAGAAACCACAAGTGAGCATCAAACGTTTATTTAATGAATATCCCGCATGTCAACAGCAGTCTGATTTGGAGGGTAGGGGATTAAAGAGAACTAGAGAATATTGCCCATACAATAGCCATCCACAAAAGAAGAAACCCCAGGTGCACAGGCACTTCCTTCCTCTAAAATGGGGAAAGATTAGAGTACTCAGCTGCTACTCCAAAGAGAAGATAATGATATGTAATTTGACAGCAATGACTCCTAGAGGAAGAGATTACATACATAATAGCCATCTCTAAGTGTCAAGGAGGGAGAATGGGAAGAGTCTATTTAAAAATCAAGCAAGAGGGTCCTGAGCCGTTTTACATATACATTAGGCATTTTCTGTTTCACAAGTTGAACGCTGATTGTGCGGCAAATCTACGGCCTGATTCTGTCCTTGTCTAGCTTTTGCCCTGCAGTGCTGTGTGTACGCTCACATCCGTTTCTCCAAGGGCTTGTCTCTCACTGCTTTGCCTTCACTGCTACAGCTGCCTTTAAATCAGGCATCACCGATGCCAAATGTGATCTGCCCTAGTAAAGTTTTCCCAAAGCATCTCACACGCATCTAGCATCCCCGCTGCCTCATCTGGGCACTAAAGCTCCTCCTTGTCTTTTTTTTTTTTTTTTTTTTTTTTTTTTTTTTAACAGCTGCCAATCTACTTCAGCAGTGCAGCATGCAGGGTTACGGCAGATCCCACCACTGCTTTAGACAAACCTCTTAGCAACACGGTTTTAATGGCCTTTTACGGAACAGGACTCATTTGAGTCCCTGATTTAGAAATGGCTGGGCACTGTACTTCGATTCAGTGCGGAGGCAAGGCCAGTGGCTGGTTTGCTAGGGTAGCACTTGGCATTGTGTTAATCCAAGGCCAGCCTCACTAGGAAATAATCACAAAAGCAGCATGTGCCATTTGCACTATTATATTTTAAATATGAAGTAGATGACTGGGGCAGAGGGGTTTAAAGAAGAGATGAATAAGAAGGGGATGTGAGAAAAGAAAATGAAATAGCGAATGCTGACGGTCAATTGTGCCCCTATTTAGTCGGTCTCAGAAGACAAGAACAAAGTGACATTTGATGAAAGTGAAAGACTGCAGGCTTAACTACTGGCACCCAGAACTACGCTTCTGCACAGCTGATAATTAACCTGTGAACCTCACTGCCGCCAAACAGCAGCGAGACGGAGAGCTTAGCACAATTAAAACAAAGGATGACATTTAGGCAGCTAGTGAGAGCATTTACAGTTAAGTTTATGTACGTTTAAAATAACTGATACAGGGAGATAATCCCTCCTGCTTCAGGGCATAGTTGAACCATCAATTCACAGCACCTGGGGGAGCTGTTTCCCCCAGGGACAACTTCTTCCATAGATGTCCACAAATGCCCTTTCTTTTGAAGCATCTGGTACTGGCCACTGTCAGACTGGAAACTGCCCTGACTGGGCCACACATCGAAACCTGGTGTGACAGCTGCTGTGGTGGCAAGGAATTAACCCACAGGAAAAAGCACTGTAATTTGTAGGACCCCAGAGAACTTAAGTTCTAAAAAGCTGCTTTGTTCTTCTGTTGGTACCTAGGTTATTGGCAAAACTTCATTTCCCGGGGATCTGTTACTGTTTCACCAAGCACTTTGGGGAGGGACTGAGAGTCTGCTTGCTCTCTTTGAATGACTTTTTGTTAAGGAAATAAAGACCAACATGAACTAGAAAATGGAAACGAGGACCTGTATTCATGCCCACCTCAGGACTCCTAAAGCCCTTGCACGTGTTTCACGGAGGAGCTGAGGACTGCCATCCCGTTGAGCTCTCGCAGCTGAAGAATGTGCCTGCAACGACACAACAAAAAAAGCGGTGTGGGGTGATGGCATGTGACTGACAGTCCAAGCTTCCCTTGCAAGCTGTCAGAAACGGCTGATGTCAAATGCAAGAGATTCCCTGCACGAGGAAGCAGAGGCCTCGCGCAGTTATGACAGCTCCTTGGTTTGCAGAGGGGAGAGAAGAGCATTAAGCAGAGAGGTACTTCACACCAAGTCCAATCAGCTTAATCTACCATAGCAGATGTCTAACATTAGCAAGAGGAGCAGAATGAGCTCTCTCCCTTCTGCACTCGAGCGGGACCTGCAATAAACATTCCCTGCTGTGAGCAACTGATTTGGAAGTCGGTCTGACCAGTAGGGGTGAAGTGTTTAGTCCTTTGAAGCCTGCATATTATCCTCACACTCCCTATTCAGTAGCCCAGCAGGCATGGAGAACGCCTGTGCTTCTCTCCTGTGTCTAGGCTACTGGGCCTTCAGTAACTAATGGCTGGTTTGCAGCCTGCTAGGACCCATCAGCTTCTCGGCCGGCAGCAGCCGGGATGTTTTCTGGACACTTACATTGCTGTTGTGCTTTCAGGTCATTTCTGTGACCTCTATGCTTTGTTTGCTCTTTCATTCCTCCCTCCATTCTTTCAACAGAAGCAACTTGGTAGAGCAATGTAAAATGATTCCCGGAAAGCAGCCTGAGCACACCCACAATGAACAATGCAGAATGCCACTGCTGCCTGGTTTGGCAATGTGCATGTTTCTCAGGCTCCTTGGGACCAAGGCAGCTCCAGAGCTTGAAACTCCAGGTTCCCTGTGCTTGTGAGGACCCAGAACCTGTGGTCCTGACTCCCCCACTGGATTCACGAGATGGGCTGCTAGCAAGAAGGGTATCCTAGAGCTGGGAACAATCCCCACAACAGAAAAGCTTTCAGAGAGTTGGTTAGCACCTAGACAACAGGGGAATGAGGAAACAACCCCTCCCCTCCTAAGAAATGGGAAAATGAGACAGGAGAAAGATGTGGCCTCCCCTCTGGGCAGAGACAGAGAATGCTCCATTACGGCTCAGGGACGATCTCTGATGAGAATCCCAGCTGGAGCAAGGTCATGGATATTTCTGAGGGCATTCATACAAACCATGTCCCTCCTCACAGCACCTACACGGCCCTGAGAGGGCAGCACACCTTTGCCTACTCTGGCTCTATGCTACCAGGTCCCCTATCTTTCCCAGTGGCCTTTGCTAAGAGGATTAAACCTCAGCAACTAGTAGAAGGCTCATGAACTCTGGTGCCACAGTGATTCTGTTTGGTACCATGCAGCACAGGCTGGAAGGGCCCCAGGAGTAATGAGCAGCCCAAAATACCTTGGCTCAGCAGTACAGAGCTTCCCGAGAGCCACGGCGGCGTTCTCTTGCACCGCGGTTTTCCTGGCATCCCCACCGGCGAGCTTCAATAACACCAACACGATGTTGGAGTTCAGCAAGGACGCGGCAGCTCCAGGCACGTTGAGGCACTGGCTGAGGCAGAAGGCAGCATTGCCCACAATCAGCTCGTTCTCCGATGCCAGGAGCTGCAACAGCACACTGAAGTCTGGGAGAAGCGACAAGAACAAATAAAAGAGGCTGTTACAGAAAGTCAGAAAAGGATGGGTCCCAGCCAGCTGACAGAAAGTGCTTCCTGTCAGCAAGTCAGGACAGATGGTGACACCCCAATCCCATGGGGGAACAGCAGCAATTCAGCTCTCAGAACAGAGAGAGAAGAGAATGGAAATTAAAGGGAAAGCTAAACATAACCAGGGTGGTGTGGGGAGGGGTCACAGGCTGCATGCATGCGACTAGCCATGTGTACCTGGTCTCTGGGACAAGACTGAGCAAATCCCCCCCGGGCCCATTTCAGGGAACGTTACTAACACCAGACCCTGCAGAAGGAGTGTGTTCTCCCATCATAGCTCAGAAAGGCCACAAGGCAGAGGAACAGGTGCGCTCATCAGTCTCTACTCCTCCAGCTACAGCTCAGGTGCCATGTCCATGCCAAGAATGAATGTCACTGAGCGTGATGGCAGGAGACGCATGAAAACTGCGGAAGAAGCTTCCCTATCCTGTGCCCTGAGCATCCTGCTTTCACTGCGTTCTTGCAACTTGCTGATCGCAAAGTATTGAGCAGGTAGCCTTGTAAAGATGGAAATGCCACAGTGGTAGGACTATTGAAATAGGGTCAGACCCTCAGCTGGCATAAATCAGCAGGGCTGACTTTAATGATGCTACACCAATACACATGAGCACAGTGCCTGACCCACAATCCTGCAAAGGACTGCACGGTTATCGCAAATAGTGGCGGCATCTCTCAAGCCAGAGAAACCAGGAAGTAACTGGCACGGCCACTTTAAAAACAATCATGTTTGCATGTGCAGAACCTTCCCCTGGGGGCTGAACATGTCTGCTCTGATTTCTGCACATCATCCCTTCTGTTCCCCCTAATCACATCATGCTTTCTCTTTCTTTCCTCCTGCTGTCAGGAGAAGCAGGGCTGCTGCAGACCACAGCAGTAGCACTGACAACGATCGTTTCAAAGCCTGAACTTGTTGGCCCGGTTGGAATGCAGCTGAATGTCAGAGAACCATAGCTTGACCCAAAAGGGCTCTCAGCAGCGAAGCACTGTCTGAGCCGGCAAACTGAGATGACAGCATCAGAAAGCGACTTTTCAAGAGCTGAACACCCAAAGCTTGGTGGGAAAGAACCACATTACAGCACTGTTAACGAGAGAGAGACGCAAAGGCTCCATCTATGCACAATGCCAATTAGCAGCACTCACATGGTGCGCACAAAGGGAAGAAGAGGCTGCAAGTGGTTTTTAATGAGCCACCGTCCATTGGGTTCAAGCTCTTTTGGACTGCTGCATTCTCCCCTGGATTGCATCACACCTGGCTAGCGAGACTTTCTGAGTGAAAGGGCTGACAAGACTAGTGCCCAGCTCAGCACCTTGTGCCCTGTGGGATGTAGGATTCGTTGCCAAATAAACTCCAGCTTTATTATGATGCTTTCCTCTTGTCTCATCATCTCACACTTGCCCTGCACGTTGCTGTATTCTATTACTCAGCTGAATAGAAGGAATAGAGCAGCACTGACTTGGGGATGAAACAGTCAGCATGATCTGCATTCAGCCTGTCCTGAGCAATGACTAGCACAGCCCTGTGACAAGGGCTGCACAGTGTCTAGGAGAAGCTGTTTAAACCACAGGGCTCAGTAAAGAAAATTTCACTGAGTTCTGGATCAGAGGTTGCAAGACTAAGAACAGTTGGTGCTTCCAGTTAGGTCCAGTGGATAAAGCACCGGGAGATTCAGGATCTATTTGCATCTCTGCTATTCACTGGGAGAGACTTGATCTCAGGCAAGTCTCTTCTCCTCTTTCAACTTTTCTCTCTCTCTCTCTCTCTCTATATATATATATATATCAGAGCTAATGCCTGCCTTCTTTTGCTCAGTGCTTTGGAGATGCAAGTATGATGACTACTATATGCATGTAACCAGCAGCATTCTTCTGGGAAAAAAACCTAACCGGAGTTCAGCTCACGCAGAGGCAACAAGCCAGGGAAATATTACAGTAATATCTGAAGAGGAGACGTTCAGCTTGACAGGTAGCAAAGGACAATAAAGACATCTAGACAAGGTGCATATGACCTAAAAGAGGAGGAGGGATGAAGACATGCCACACACATGCAAAGGGACTGCCAGCTGGCGATATCACCGCTCACTCTCTAATTCATGCCAAACTTTCAACATGAAGTTGCAAAGCTTTACAGATGCTCACTCCTCTGGAAGTCAGACCACTTGTTCAGATGTCTAAATACTGGTTATAAGTGCCTTATTTGAGACTCTTTCGCTGCTCCTGATTTCCCACTGACTCAACTAATTGTAATGAAATATTGTTAAACAAATTTCTCCAAGGCTGGAAATCTGCACAACAAATGTGCTCCCTCTACTAAATGTAGCTTCCATAATCCTTGCTCATTATCTAATGCATATATTTCCACCTGCACACAGCTGAAAGACTAATTAATTATGAGGCCAGGAGGTGAAATGGCACATTGTTCTGTAAACATGCCTGAATCCCCAGGGGAATTGGACAGAATTAATGTTCAGCTCCATCCTAGAGAGGCTGACACGGTTTGGGAAAGGTAAGTACCAGGTTAACCCTCTCCCATTCAGTCTGAGGCTAACGAAGCTGTCACTTACTTTTATCTGACTTCATCACTTCCTCCCGAGCCTGGTTGCTGCTTTTGGTGCAGACTGCAAGCGTCTTTATAGCGTAGCTGCATGTGATCTGTCCGCAGGCCTGGATTTTAGTTAAGATTAAAACAAATAAACAAGCACGCACATAATTTACAGTTCACATATCTCAACTCTCAGCAGAACAGAGAGAATCTCTCAGGTGCCAGGGGGTGTTTATAGATGTTTTATGTCTGGGCATGAATATTAAATTGAGACTCTTCTAACGGGTGCTGAAATATATAATCTCTGCTCTCTTTAAACATATTAGCTCATAACCGTGCTCAGACACAGACTTTCAGTGACTCACACCCTCCTGCTATAATCTTCTGACCTTTAATAGGACAGCCACAGGAATAAATCTGCCAAGCAAGTTTATATCAAAAGGACATTATCAAAAATGAATACCTGATGAGGGAATCAATCTATCAAAGGGCAAGATTTACTAGAGTGAAGGCATGGAATAGACCATTTCCTTTGCACTTCCATGCAGAAAACTGGCTTGTTCAACTGTGCATGTTACAAGACTAAATCATTATAGAGGTGAAAAACAAATGTACCTGCGACTGAGGCACCAGCCCACTACTGAAGTGTGCTATGAAGGGCTTTGGGCTTGTACAACACAGGGACAGCATTAAACAGCACCTGAGAACACATCTGCAAGACTAGCAGCAATCATCCTCTCCTAGACAGAACACATGTACAGGCTTCAAACCACCAAGGCTCTGGCATCAAACTCATTTCAACCCCAGGGAATTCCTTCCAGCATTGCAGGGCAAGTTACAAAAAACTCTGCCTGGTGTTACTGCACTGGACCATGATTATTATTTGCACCACTAAGACAATCCCTTGGGTCAGGGTGTTCCTGTGCTGAACATTAACTGGATATATATCTATATAGATATATAACATTATATGTTCAATTGCTCCATGTCTTGATCCAACAATCACTGAAGAGTTGATGGCCAGGTTCTTACTGCCCTGCCACAGGGTTTGAGATTAGGATCCTAACTGTGGGCCTGTTCTGCAACTTGATCTGTCACGGTGGACTCCTGTGGTAGCAGACGGCCTCATTGCAAGCAGAGGAGCTGTGTGGGGACACAGGCATCTGACATACAAGGAAGCCTTAGCTAAAGACATGAAACAACAGATGAGGAAGTCAAACGCTGGGGAAAAAAAAAGAAGGAACATGAATGTAAAGAATACAAATGTTTTTGCAGGAACTAACTGCATGCACTAAACAGACCAGCAGCAACTCCAGGTGGCCCCTTGTTAAACCTTCTCAGCTGGCCACAATTCATCAGTATCACCATAAAAGTGAATCTAAAGGAAAGGACTTGAAAGGAAAGAGATTGACAGCCTCTCAGATTTTTTTTTCAAAAAACCTATAGCTTTAGCAAAAGCACAGTCTGTTATTTCAGATGCTTCTTTGCAGAAATTCAATTAATGATCTAAACTCATCTGCTGAACAGGAGACATAACATTATAAAAAAGCAATGTCCTGGTTAAGCTCGCTTATTGGGAACCCCCACATTGTTCAATTTGCAGAGAAAGGATGGAATAGGTAGTGAAAAACTGAGTGTGACTATTACAGTCCTGGGGAAAAGCCTGAAACCAGGGAATAAGGCAAGTCAATTACCTTCAGGAATTTCAGCATTTTCTTCACCACGCCTCCTTTCACTGCCTCATCAACTGCTGATGGACAGGTGGACAGGACACGACTTAGGACCCCAGTGGCTCTCTTAACGAAGAGAGAAAGAAAAAAAAACAAGGTAATGGCTCTTCTCCTGGAGAGAAGTGATTGCATTGCTTGCCCTCTGTTCCTTTATTTTAAGTGTAATTTAATTCTTTTGTTGTAGTAGGAGGCTAGATATGGTGAAAGTAGTCATTAAAGTGGCAGGAAAATATATGTATATCCTTACACACGTGTAGTTATAGCATAATAGCTTTAGAATGGCACTCTGTTTCATATGTAATAGAGACCCAGCTCAACATGACCTTATTGTCTCAGCCTAGGGAGCAGAGAGTCAAAGATGACAGCTACTCAGCACAGTTCCTTGCAACTTAGCTTATGGGAAGAAACTTCCAGTAAAAACTAGGCGAGCACAGCTACCACTGATTCAGAGAAGCAGTGAATGAAATCACTGAATAGGGCTCGGCCAGAGCAGAGATGACTCCCAGCTGGGACCACATCTGCTCCGACCAGCGTGTCTTGGAAGGGCTGATGCCTATGGGATTTAGACACACATCTAGATGATGACACAACCCCTTCAGAATCATTTACAGAGAAGAGTCGAAAAAGGCCCCAGCTCTGAAATTCTCCAGCTGTTGCTTCTCCTTTGCTTCTGAATTCAGTTCCCTGTCTTCAGAAGAGTTTTAACAGACCATCCTGGCGATAAAACTTCATGAACACTAAGCGCCCCTTGCAAGTGAACATGCAATCAGGAACAGAGCTCTGCAAACAGAATGCTTTCATCCTCATCTAGGTCACTGTCCCATTCATAAAGCATCTGAATGTTTAGAGGGACCCACTTACTGTCACAATCTTTCCATCTTTGCTGCTGAGCAGAGACAAGCATTTCCTGCCTACATCCACAGCAGACCCCTGAAATGAAAAGCAGCAGTAGACATTCAGGTCCAAACAACACAATTAAACTTGCATTAAAAATGGTGTTAAAGAGACAGCTACACTTCAGGGAAGCTTCTGAGGGAGACTTTCAAAGGCACAAATGGCAGGAAGGTAGCCAAAAAAATTGTTCTCTTTCATCTGTAGGGCTTGTTTAGCTTCAGAGAGTTTGAGATCAGGCTTTCCCCTTGCCATCATGAATACATTTGAGATCAGGAAGTAGACTGTTTCATTCATGGAATGGGGTTAACATGCACCACTTGGATTTCCTTTAGTCAGGTAAAAGGCACATTACACATAAATGCTTAAAAAAAAGAAAACAAGGAGAAAGGATTCTCGAGTTCCCTTCCCTTTGTCCCTCTTGGCTCTGTAAAGCTATCACATACATTAGTGAGGGGTTGCTTGTAAGAGCCTGAAGAGATGAGGGTGTTGATTGACCAAGTACCAGCACGCCTCCAAGCTCAGAAACCTCCCTGCCTGCACTGCAAGAGCCATCCAAGATGGATTTCTGACCCCAGGTGTGAGTAAGCTCTCTCTCCAGTGCAGACCACAAAACTCTCAATATCCCATGAGAGTATGAATGTAGCAATTTCCCTCAGCCCCCACCAGCCTCCTTCCCTAGTTAAATGCTCTGCAGCTGCAAAGACTCCTCAATTCCTGCACTGGACACTAGATCACATGCAAAGCAGTAAAAAAAAGGGGAGGGGGCTGGACCTGTTTGTGAACTCTGAGGCTCTGGATAAACAGTGAAAGGAAACAGGAGGTTGCAGGGGGACACCCACGGACCTCACATCCCGTACCTGAATGACCATATTCGATTCCAGGGATAAGTTCATCATCAGGCCTAGCACTGCAAACAGACATTCTTGGTACTCTGCAGCACTGCCATCACAGCAGCACACATCCTACACACAGGGGAGAACAGAATATTCAGTATCCAATTCATCATGGGAAGGTTCAAAATATGCATTTCCTCATTCAGCCACTCAGCATCCCCCTTCTCATCATGCCTCAAACTCCCAAAGACCTATGAACCTGCCACAGAAAAGTCCACAGCAAGAAGACTCGCCCATCTGGAACAGACCTGCCAGGTCAAAGTGGAACCACCTTCACTGGTATTCAGCAGCTCACAATTGAGCCTGATCCCTAAGGTCCATTGTGAGATCTAATGGCTCCCTGAACCCAACACAGAAAGGTACATGGCAAGAACCCTGATGCTTCTCCCCAACCTCAAAGAAATCAATGGGGAAGAAAGGAATTTATTTAGTGAAGATCTTGGCCAGGAGCAGAGGCATCACAGCCACCCCAGGGGAGAGCAAGATGCCCAAATTGCAATGACAAAGAGGCACCTAATGCAAATCCCAAACCTGCATCCACAGACTGACAGGCAATTAGTCATCATGTGTCCCAGCCATCCCACTACAAATGATGTCCCTAATTTCTCTAGTCCACCTGACAGGGGGGACCTGTACTGCTTATGCAGAAACTTCCAGGTGGCAGGTATCAGCTTCCAACTCCAGCATTATCCTCCAACCACGCTCACCCTCACCTCAGACATTGTGCAACAGGCCACAGTTCTATGTATGAGCTTTCCAGTACTGACATCCAAACTATATATCTTCTCTTCTCCTGAAAGCACGTGCCCGTCGTTTTGCTGTGGCTGAGAGCAGAACTCCCTATGCTGTCTGGAATAGCCCCATAAACCATAGAAGGCAGTGGGGCAGGGTGATTTCCAGTACACCAGGGCTCACACCATAACAGGATGTGTGCAGGTTGCTGAGGAGAGACATGCAGCTGATGCATCCACTCCTAGATGGGCTTTGCTTCATGTGGAGCAAAGGAGCATGGGACACACATCCTGCAGTGGGCTCAGGAATTAAGAAGCAAAGGGCAGTAGCTGAGAGGCTGGCGTAAGAATGCAATGCAGACAGGAAAGGGTGGATTCGCAGGACCTGTGGGGTTTGAGGGTGGTTTCAGCACCACTCCAGCTGTGGGTGCAAACCTGGCTAGACTTACCATCAGCTGCAAGCAGGCCTGCCAGCATTCCTGACTTTCTGCCATCTGAACCCGGAGGACTCCATCACTGCACAGGTCCCCCATGACAGCAATGCCGTGAGCTAGGGCTGCTCGGTTCACCAGCCGGACCGTTTTCTCAAAAAAAAAAGAGCAAGCATGATTGAGGAGAATTAGTCAGAGACAGTGAGAAGGATTCATAACAAGCCCAGGATGTTCTTTTCTTACTCCTAGCCCTACTGCGGTGGCAGTGGCAACAGGAAAACCAGTTGCTCCTCACCAGTTTCAATCAGAGGCACACTGCACACTGAAGGTTACCTCAATCAGAGCTACACAGCTAAAGCTCGGTGTGTTGCCCTGGACATTTACTCCAGTGGTGTTAGCAATTATCTCTCTGCACCTTGACATCCTCTCACTACCCACTGGGCACAAACAGTCTGACAGCTCCAGAGGGAAGGGCAGAGGTGAATCCATACTATTACTGCTGCAGTCTTCTCTTGCTTATTTTGGACAGTTGAGAGAGGAGAATTTTTTTCTTTCCAGTTCTTGCCTAATGCAATGTACTGCTGATCTGCACTCCCGCTATCCCAGTGGCAGGCCTCTTTGCAAACAGCTCTTTAAAGGGTCAGGGTTTGTGATGTGAATGAGTGGCAGCTGGAGAAAGGACCAAACCCACCAAGTTCATTTAATCTGTGATCTAAAGTTGCCTTTAAACCCAGATCACAGTCATTAGAAACAAGTGGATTTGCTGGGGTTTGTGTACTGACTGGCCTAGACAGGCCCTTCTGTGACTCCACTTGGCAATTCCTACTGTTCTGTAATACAGAAGTCATTTAATTCCTCACATGAACACAGAGGAGTGGAGAGGCCTCCTGAGCCACTGAGCCCACCCCCGAGGAATCTAGCCGGGGTTTGTGTACTGACTGGCCTAGACAGGCCCTTCTGTGACTCCACTTGGCAATTCCTACTGTTCTGTAATACAGAAGTCATTTAATTCCTCACATGAACACAGAGGAGTGGAGAGGCCTCCTGAGCCCACCCCCGAGAAATCTAGCCTCAAGCTAAAAGGGATCATTGCTAGAGTGATCATGCAAAATTTTCAAGGAAAAGAAGAGGTGGAAAGCCCTTGGCCCCTTTCTTACCAGTAACTGGACGAATAATGGCAAAGTCCCAGTGGAAAGTTTGATACGACACTGGATTCTGAATCTGTTGGCAAAACAATATTCAGATTCTTGTGGATCAAGGCAAAATTCATATGCAGACAAATGCAGAAAGAGCTGGGCAAATTTTATTCCCTGGAAGAGAGCAAATTCCCCGGATTTTTCCGCCAACATCCTGTTTCTTACTATTTTGCTTAAAGATGTTGTCATGATGTAAAACAGCAATCAAATCAAATTCTGTCCTCTATGACTCCTATGCAAATATGAGAGTCTGACCTTGGTCTGAGCAGTATAAATTAATAATTAAATGATTCTCTTTGGTATAAAACTATTTCCATTTCTGCCAAAGCCTCTCATCTTATTTATTATGTTAACATACGAAATGGCTCTTTGTCTATTCAGCCCATGGCAAGTGTGTTCATCATAAAGCTCAGCAAGCTGATGTTTTCTAACCTAGTGCTATGAGAACCTGTGATAAGTCCCAAAACGTAGCATGGAAGAAGCGAACAGTTTAAAAAGTGCTACTTACTTTTCCTCCTTCATTAGGTCAGCTAGCAAGTTCATGGCACAGATAGCCCTGGTGTCGGGAACCTTGATAAATGCCATAAGCACCTGCAGCCACCTGTTCAAAGGCAAAAATTTTGTACCACATCAGAAAAAAAACACTGGTGATGGTTGTATTTTCAGGAGCACCTAAATGTTTTAGGTGCCAAAACCCCTTTCACTTCCAGTGGGATTTTGGCATGCTGACTTAAACCTACGTTTCCCTAAAATTTTTATGACCTTAACTCCTTTGGCAACCAGGATCTGGGGGAACGTTTGTTCACCAGAGCGCCCCAAGCGATGACAAGGTCGAATGGTTATAAACTCCTGAAAGATCGTTTCAGGCTGGACATCAGGAAGAACTTCTTTACTGCCTGAGCCCCCAAGGTCTGAAATAGCCTGCCGTCAGAGGTGGTTCAAGCACCTACTCTGAACGCCTTCAAGAGAAACCTGGATGTTTTTCTTGCTGGGATCCTATGACCCCAGCTGACTTCCTGTCCCTGGGGCAGGGGGCCAGACTCGATGATCTTCCAAGGCCCCTTCCAGCCCTAATGTCTATGAAATCTATGAAATAACAAAATGCCTAAATACCTTTGGGAATCTGAGCCTTATGTCAGGTCCCTAGCTCTGTACAACAATGTAGCTGGACTGACTTCAATAAAGCTAGGTTAATTTACACCAGTTGTGGGGGCAAATCCTCAACCACTCATCATTTCCAAAAGCTCCATGGTATATGATACACTGTCGCTCAACTGCCTGGCTACTGACCACCTTCTAGGTATCTACTGGTCGTGGCACATCAAGGTAGAGTGAGCCTGCCATGCTGAAGAATATAACCCAGGTTTATATTAATGTGCATATGATTTCATATGGAATGTGTGTATATATAAATGCAGTGGAGGCCAAGAGCAAAAGTTTGACATGGTACGCTGAACAAACCTAACAGTCCCTTTGAGTCTTCCCAGTGAACTGCAAAGCAGTGGTAAGGCTCTTGATCCACCACCTGGCAGCAGCGAGAGCCTCGTACATCAGTCACCATTTCTACTCTCCAAAAAGTGTGTGTGCTGCTATGTGCTATACACTTGCAAAAATAGCACAGTCTCCAGGAGTTTCAGCTGCGACCTCAGCAAAATGAGTGGTGTTTCTGCAGAAATGCCAAAGGCTTCCAATATGACCTGGCACTATAAAGATGTTAGATCTCAGCATAATGCTCATTCCAAAGTACAAGGAATCGCATCTCCATTTTTCTTCCTTCTCCACATTCAAAACACAGAAGGGGCAATTTGAGCACATCATTCCAAAGACTGCCAGCAAATCCTGCACACACGTGAGCAATTAAATGTATAACTTCTCACTCATGCAGGCAAATATCTAGTCTTCAGGCTCAAATACAATCTGCTGCAATATTTCCAATGGCCACAGCTGCACTTTTAGGCATTCACATATCTCTGTGAATCAGTCCCCCGTTTCTTCTGTCCATCCTAACTCTTTTTTAACAATCAGGCCCACAATCTTTCCTCAAAGGGTGATGGAAATGTTTTCCAGACCCATGATATTCTAGACCAGAGCAGTATTAATCAACTGTGCTAAATAACAAAGCATCCAAACTTCCCCCGAGACAAGGCTCATTTCTTTAACCTTCCTTTTGATGGAAAAGGTCTCAGGATTAATGCCTTACACACATTACTAAGTTTGTACATCTGTTCAAGAACCTTTTTTTCTATTCATCAATTACTTTGAATCATTTAAGCTAGCTCATTAAAATTTGTTTCCTGTGTAATTGTACAAGGAGATGACGGTACAGTAGGAGAGAGTTAATAGACTGTGGTTTCTTTCTCCCTTTTGTGAGTCACAGAAATGCTGCAGTAATCATACATTCCAATTATTAAATTACGAGAGAGATTCGGCTTGAAGCTCAAGCCCCTCAAAGACAGCAACATGAGCACTAGGTGAAGAGCCATATAAATGTATGTACTTCCATTATCTTAGACAAAAGAGAGTAACTTACGTAAGAAATGTCCAAAGGTTATAAAACATTTCTCAGAAACCCTTTGCATTCAGTTGCCATAATGTGTTTGTGTCTGAAGGTCGCCATACAGAGCACACAGGAACATCTTCCCCTACACACCTGTGTTCCCTGAAATCAAGCACATCACAGTGCTGCTCTTCTCTCCAACACTACCAGTGGTTTAAGGGCTTCCACTGAGTTACAAAATGTCCGGTGAAAGGGAATTCTGGGAACAAGGCGAAGGGCTCAGACATGGCTTCCGGGGTCACTGAAGTTATTTGGCGCTCAATGATCAATATTTAGTGCTGGTGAAAGGAGCCCAAGGTCTCCACAACCCTTGGATTAGGGCATTAGCTACCAGGCACAGGGACTGCAGAGGCCTGGGTTTAGCAGCTTGCTCAACAACAAGTGTCCTGTGTGACTTCAGGCAGGTGACAGTCTCTCTGTGCCTGTTCTCCATCCAGGAAGAGCACACACCAACTGCTGAAACTTCCTTAGCCCAACAAAGGGTTTTTGAACTCGAAAGCTTGCTTAATAATTATTTTCCAACTATTTGGGTTGATCTAATAAAAGATAGGAGATTCACCCAAGAAATCTTGTCTGCCATCTATAAAATGGAACATTTGCCCTGCCCTTACTGCCCAAGGATGTTGTGGGGATGGGTAGATTAAAAGATTTCAAGGCACTCGGACACTGTGCTGATGGGGATCATACAGGTACCCATGACAGCTGAAGCATGAACTTCCATACCGTGTTTCTCTCCTGACTGCTAGCAAGCTTTAGAGAAGAATGGTGTTAAGAGTCTAAATAACTCATTTGGTCCTTGGACTCTAATTGTGCCCTCTGTGATGCTCTTTTCTGTCTTGGGAACAAAAAACCAGGCAAGGGAATAAGACTGCCACAGTCATCTCACATAAGCTACCCAACAGCCACTGACATTCAGCTACTGTCAGCCAGGGCTGGATTCCAATTCCAGAGAAGTTCTTACCTCTCAGCCAGCCAAACCAAAGGCTCTCCCCCCATTTACAGGATAAAATTCTCACCAACCCTCTGTGCAGAGATCTACTGCATATTTAGCATTTCTTCCATTAAGGGCACGAGTATCACATGGCAGAGGGAGCCACAGAAGAGCAAGGAGGAGAATTTAGCTTCTGGTATTTCTCTTTTGGCTGGAGTTTATTCTCTCCTAACTTAGAAGCAGGTACTCAAGAGGACCCATATGAACCAGGGTAGCCCATAGAGAACGGTGTTAGAAATTCTAACCAGGACTGAAATTCATTCAATTTGAGCACGGCTTTAGTTGTAAGTCTCCGCTTCCTCATGGCAAGTTAAGTGCAAGCTCCTTGTCAATCTTTCATTCGGTGGTAAGACTATAAGGGCATTGCTTTTTTCTGGATGGGAAAGGCATGCATTACCTGGTTAGGTCCTGGTGCCTGAGCAGCAGACACCTCCCGTTTTCAGTCTGAGAGTAGAGAAATAGCAATGCCAGTGTCTCCTTCTGGATCTCAGGCACTTCAGAGGACAGAAGTTTGGGAAGCTGCACATTCACATCAGGGTGGGTTAACAGCATTCGCTGATTCTCCTCTGAAAAAGAAAAGTTTTGTTGAGGTACACCATGTCATCCAAACCCTTCCGTACTGACAAAGTCAGCACCTGCAGGAAAACCACTCCACAGTTTTTAACACCTTCATTCCACCCACTTACAGGCTCTTTCGCTACATGACCGATCGGTTCTTCCATGTGATACTACTGCAGCACAAGGCAACTACTCAGACATTCCAAAATGAACAGGGCAGTTGCCTTTAACATATACATGTGATGCTCCAAAGTCTGCATTAGCAACAGCCCATTCCTTTGGACATTGGCTAGGTCATATAAGATCCAAGTCAAGGTAGATTTTGGTCCCTGGCCTTTAAAATACTCTGGGTTTTCCTCTCAACATTTTTAATCGCGCTATTCAATTAGTCCACAGCTACAACTCCACTAAAAACAAAGAGCTGAGGGGTCTTGCTTGAAAACCCACTGGATACTGATTCCTCAGTTAAAGGATATGCACCCTGTCATCCTCCAACAGCCTTTATAGGGAGCTCTGCCTTGCATCGATATTACCTGGTTAAGGAAAAAAAAGGACAATACAGTTCCCAGCAGAGCATAAGCTAAAAATATTAACTCAGGAGCTAGCGATGATCCCAGGATGGGCAGGAGTTTACTCTCAATCTCTTTAAGCTCTCCACTAAAATAGATTGGTACTTCATTACCTGGGGGACACAACCAAAATTGTGGTTGCTGGTAGAACTATACCTCAAGCAGTTGCATTTGACCTATAAATCTTTGCTGTGCAGTGAGGTCTACATCCAAGTGCTCTGGGGAGTGATGTTCATTGAAAACAATAATTTCAAACACAGTAAGTGCCATATTAGCAGTACATTAACAATGATTAATGTTGATTACACAGCTTTACCATTCCCAGTGCAGACTGCTTGCCAGAGGACGAGTAGAGAAATAGACAGATCCACTTCAGCAGTGTTTTTCCTCTCTGCACAGAAACCCCTAAAATGGAAATATTAATTATAAAACAGCAAAGAAACGATGAAAATGCAGGGCTCTTTGGGGGTGGGTCTGGGTAACACAGAAAGTAACAGTGATGGATGCTAAGGGAGTCGCCATAAGGCAGCCTTGTGGAGAAATTCAATGAACTACTCCCATCCCTTCAGCTTATGGACACCAACTGTTTCCATGCTGGAGCATCTCAAATTGGCAGAAATGTCTGGTCCCCATGCCTTCTGCCTAGCATTCTGTTCTTACTGTCAATACCAATCACAGCCCTGCTTAAATATGCCTCGAGCAAGTCTCTGTCCAAAACAACTTGGAAAAAGCAGGTCTCAACACTCAAAAAATGTCTTTTGATCTCCTCCAGAAAATATCTCCTCCCAGCCAGGAGGAAGATCAGATAGCAGAGGGATCGTAAAGCCAAATAAGTTTGCCAGATTCACTGATCGATTAGTAACATACAATGTAATAGGCAGCTATGAAGAATGAATTATAGGAAGCAGAAGGTACAAATCCTCCAGGATGATTCTTTCCTTTGATTACAGGGCTGAAAGTAATACCTGAAAGCGGTTTTTACAGGCCATGTTAGAGAGCAACAGGGCAAAAGCTAAAAGGTGTACCTCTGATTGCAACAGACCTGCACCAATTCACACCAGGAGAATACAAAAGACATGGCTTCATGCATTTGTGTTTCGTTTATGTCAAGTTTTACAAACCCTCTCACCTTCTTCGCTGACAAAATACAAAGCCCCTCTCCCCCCACACACAACAGGGGTGCCAAGGGGAGTAAAAACCAGGCCTGATGTACTGTAGTGGTTTTCCCCCCCGCATCCAAAAGCGTGGTTTGTCGAAAGGTCGCACCAAAGTCAGCACATTTGGATACTTAAGCTTTGCTGTCACATTATCTCTTGATCATTTCATCTGAATTTCATGAGAGGCGATTGTGTTTCTTCAAAATGTCTTTTCACTTCCTCATGCTGTAACGCCCCACTGTTCTCCTTCGGAGAGGCCTTACCGTCTTATGACCTTGTTGTCATTGATGATACTGAATCCATTGTTTGTTCTAAATAAAGTTTGTTCAGTGCCTGGAATGAATTCAGAGATAACCAAGTCAGCCCCACCATCCATCTGGCTGACGTATCATCGTGAAGGCAGACTCTTGCTCTCCTGGAATGGAGCGTTAAGTGACAAGGTCACAGAATCAATAGCTTTGGCAAAAAGGGAAAAAAAAGTGTTTGCGCCACATGAAAACAATCCTCAAAACAATATCTGGAGCAGAAACAGCACTGAAGCTAAGGGGCCTGCACTCTGTTTGGATCTGTAACTGCACACTGTGATTTTAATTTAAAGGAGTTTTGCAGCAAAATGGAAGCGCCAAACCAGGACTTGCAAACCAGCAGATTTTAATAGTGAACTGTGTTTTAAAATCAATTAAACAACTGTTTAAGAATCAAAGCAATACTTGAGTCCAGAGGAGATGAAGGATGATAAAGAAGTAGAAGGCTAGTTAGCTCAGTGAGTCCAGGCCCCTGTCCCAGGAGAAAACAGCCTTCAGACAGGATCTCTCATATTGAACATATATTGGAACAGTCTTAACCAAAAACTCTTAAAGAAAATAATGTACATGTAAGAACAGATCCTCACATGCCATCAGCTGTGCTTAAGTCACCTAAAACTGGCACTACATCTCAAATTAAACAGCAAGAGCTGGTTGTTCCTTTACTTATCTGTTAAAGTCTGAGCTCTGGGCTCAGTTTCAGACGCAACGGCCAGCAATTCTCCACCAACTTTAGCCAAGTAACCTCTTGGCTGCAGATTTCAGCAATGTTACCAACAAATGCAGTGGAAAACAGTTGAAGTCAGGACTTTCTGAAATTTCAGCAGCAATGGGCTCAAGTTGTGATGTTCACCTCTGAGATGAACATCCCCCAAATTCTGAGTGTCTTTTCCTTTAGCATTCCAGCCAGAGTCTGTCTAATACTTTTCAAACCCAGTATTAGCTACAAAATCCAAAATGCTGGTGTCTTCTCTCATCATTTGCATAAAACTACCAAGGATTACTGCACTGCGACAAGGACTGAACTACAGTGCTTAGTTTAAGAAGAAAGGAGGATTGGAGGGTGCCAAATGGATTTACATGGAAACATAAAATCATGGGAAAAAAATGCCAGCTGCCTTTAGCCACTGAACACTTATCCTCATTACACAAGCAATGAGGTCTCTTCTACTATGAAGCAGCATATAACTCTCACCAGCGTTAAAGAGAGGCCTGTGCTCACGTATTGCAGGGGAAGAGAGAGCTGTCTTGCAACGTTAAGTTGACAAAGCAAGCCCTTCGTTTTGTTCAGCAGCGTGTGCCTGGTTGGCAAGCATCTGTGCTCACCACTGATGTGCCAAGAAATACTGGCATATTCCACACAAGCATTTACTGGCCTACAACACCAACCTTGGAACAGTGAATTATTCTAACAGAGGAAGAATTTTTGTAAGCTCCGTGGACCAGACCCAACTCCCCTTCAGGACTTCCGCTGCCTAAGATCACACCTCATGTTTCCGTACAATGCAAGCAGGTATAGCATAAAGTACTCACGCTCTCTTATTGCTTCAGTCAAAAGTCTAATGCCACCTGCATAGTAGAGGGCATTCTGGTTGGCTCTGTCGAGCTTCTGAAGCAACTCTTTCACAGACACAGCTGTTAACTTGCCAGACTGAAATTCCTCCAAAGCTTTCCCTTCCTCCTTTGCTGCCCTCTCCTGTAAGTCTACTTCATTCAGGCAGCCTTGAGAAGCAAAAGAAAGAAAAGCTGAGAATGAATTCAGTGAAAGGGCAATTTCTTGAAGCAGACTAAGGCCAGGAAAATATGGGGAAAGCACATAAGGTCTTGGGGGGCCAGGTGGAAATGTCCCAATGCTAAAACCAAAGGCGGGGGTCAGTGTGGCCTAGTAGGTTGGGAAGCGTCTGGTGTTTCATGTGGAGTAGTTGAAGGAGAATGACCCCGACTGAGATGAGCCAAATGGACAGATGAGCGGAGACCAGTTACAAGGAAGAAGAGTCACCCTAACAGCAGGGTGGGGCAAAACCTCTGCAGAGTGCTTTGCAGAGGTGGCAGCTGGGCTAGAATTTAAATTCCAGTTTTAGTGCAGGACAAAGGTACTGGAAGGACCTGGGTTTTGTCTTCTTACCTTTATACAGGCTTTCCTTCTGGGGATCAAGTTCTAAGAGCTTCTGATAGCACTGCCTGGACTTAACAAGGGGATAAAAAGACATTAAAGAGAGTTGAAAAAAGAAGGGGAAACATGCAGCTAAGGCAACTAACCTGAGAGGACCTGATCTAAAACCTGCTGAAGTCAATGGAACGAGTCCTGGGGAATTCAGTAACCTTTGAGTTTGGACCACAGTGCTGTCATCTTTACTCCCAAAAGATTCTTCCCTATCCCCACATTAAAAATTGAGCAGAGGGAGGGGAAAAAATATCAGACCACTCTTCCTACTGACACTTGCAATGTAGGAAGGTGGGCAGTAGGCAACTGGAGAACTAAGTTTTATAAAGATGCAAGTGACATCCATCTGCAACAATGCCAGTTGAAATGATCTAGCACGAAATGTCTGATGGATGTAATCCCTCACGAATCTCTATTACTTCAAAATTAGAGAGAGCTATCCAAAACTCTGCCCATAAGCAAAAGACAAGAGGCAGAGCATCCCCAGTGAGAAATGAATCAATATCTGCCCTCAAGTTAATAGTAAAAGAAGCACAGCTGCAAAATGCAGCTCCACATGCCATGACAACTAAACATTATAGATTATTTTTGTACCAGTTCTAGCATCAAACTCTAAGCAATTTAAGAACTTTCTCTTTATTTTTACTGGTAAGGGAAAAATTAAATAAATTACATTTTACGAGTAATTAAGTTGCACCATTTTATGAGCAATTAAGTTCACCATAGGTAGGAAAAGCAGAATGAAACGGTTTATGCCACACTTACTTCATTAGGGGCTTGGAAAGATTAATGCTAATACAATAATTAGATCTTCACGAGCACTTTTCATTCTGACAGATCTCTCAACCTGAACTACGTTGAGGACCACCTCAGCCACAAATGAAATGCAGCCACCCGTGTGAAATGGGGCAGCTTTGTAATAGAGAACTCATGCCACAAAAAGCCATTTGGAAAAAAAGAGGCAAAGCTTTTCTTGTTCAACAGCATGGTCAGGGCAAACAGATATCGTTGGCAAAATGTAACTGCTAGAGATGGAATCTCGTAAGGACCTTCTGTCTTAGGAAAATTACTGCGGATTGAAAATACCACCGTTTTATAGCCCAGCTGAGCTATAGCCCTTTCAGCAGCACTGTGTCCCTTCCTTGCCACATATTGGAGCATTGGAAAATATTGGAAATGTTGGAGCATATTGGAAAGATTGCCACCTCTGGAATCTCCATCAACATACTGCGTAGAGGTCTCCCAAACACTAATGCAGCTGAGAGCTGCTTTAACTTCAGAAAGCAACTGGGGCCCCAGTACAACTTGCTGTTTTAACTACAAGGCAAACTCTATGCCTTCTGCTATCAGCAGCCAGCGTGTCCTTGGCAGGAATCTATCCGTGCTTTTAGCGCACGCTGCAATTAGGAATGTGCGGAGAACTTTGTCAGTCTGTAGCCACGCAAAGCTGAGCAGTTATTAAAAGAGAAACAACCATTACAAGTTGTCGTTGCCAAGTAGAAATGTTCTGTTTTTGTGCAGACATAAGTAATGCATATGGCCTGTCACACTAACACGGGATGGAAGGTTTATCGCAGAGCTCAATGATGTCTTAACCCAATGCCAAAGGCAATGTGCACGAGCATGATGGGCTATCGCTTGTCAGATTAAGACCATTAAATTGTCTCACGTGCCTTCTAGTGCCAGACCCAACTGGCAGCCATGCGTTTTGCTATTATATTAGCCTAAACCTGCACTGACTTCCTAAAACACAGGGTTACTCCAAGTTTACACCCGAGTAACTGAGAACTGACTGTGGCCTAGTGCCTACAACGACTATGCAACTTACCTCACTGTAGTGCTTCAGTGCCAGGTGAGCTTTGCCCATGTGGAAATAGGCTTTCATGCATTTTTCATTGCACTGGGTTAAAAATAATTATTCATTAAAACTTTTACACTGTTGAATCATTAAACACTTCTCTCACGCTCTGGTTTGTAACATTATAGCAACTACACCAAGCCAACTCTGCAGGTGGAATGGACTGCACTTCACATAAGGCTGGCAGACTCTTGTTTCCTTGAGTAATGCTCAGCTTTCCTTCTGTGACAAAACCAACTTCTGGCGTACGGTCCTTCCTCAGTACGTGCCTCACGAGCTGGTTTGAACTGAAAGACTGACCCATTTCTGACAATGAATGTCCAGGAATTCAGATTTTAGAATATATAGTGTGTATCTAGATGGACTGTCTACAAAGTGTTTGCAATGGCTTTCCGCTACCTGCTCACTTCCATGGATTCACTGGCATTTGCGAGTTAAATAAACAGGGTAAGTAAGTTAGATTTCACAAATACCTCACATCAGGACACAGCACATGCATCTAAAACACTGTTCTGCTGCACAGACTAAATTATAGCTGACAAGATCTTCCCTTGTTGTCTACTGAATCTCGTCTGCCTTCCTGCAAGGGTTGTAATTTTCTGTGTGACACCTGCTCTATGATTAGGAGAGCTCTAGACTCAACTGGCATGGTAATATTAGGAGAGATGGAGAAAAACATGATGAAAAAAACTTTTAAGACTTCACTATCTTTGCGGTACTAGCCTTTCTGTTCAAACGCTCAGACTGGAAGCCCGAGAACTGCTGGCTAGAGAACACATGATGAAAAAAACTTTTAAGACTTCACTACCTTTGCGGTACTAGCCTTTCTGTTCAAATGCTCAGACTGGAAGCCCGAGAACTGCTGGTTAGAGAATAACCTGAACCAAAACCATTCACTACCTGTTTGCCAACAGGGAAAACAAATCATTGAAAAGCACAAAGAAGGGTCCAATTCAATACGAACTTAACGCTGCTGCTCCTAGAGCCATTTACATGGGCATTTAGTACAGGTATTCATTTCTGACAGCCTTTTTCGTGTAAGCTAAGGCTAATTCCTCTTACTGAATTACTTGTATGATCCTCTATTTCTGTAGCACCCTTGACTGAATTTGCTCTAAGAAGCACCAACCGCACACTGCATTACATATGACTAGCGTTACTCGCAATTTAAAGTTTCACATCTCTCTGGAGTAGCCCTGCCAAAAATGAAATGAGTTCTAATTGTTTCTAGCTTTGATGATTTTCTTACGCAGATAAGAAACCGCCAACTCCAAATGCTAACAGACTGGCTGGCCTTTTCCAGATCAACTGTCTAGCAGAAGAATATTAAATGTCCTCATAAGACAGTGCTGATAGTATTAATGATATGACAGAGTCATCTGGAATTTTATAGGGATCAATGTGTTAAAACCACTACCTTTGAATTCAGCCTTTTGGCTTATGTTATATTTCTCCTCTTTCCCAACAACGCATGAATATTTTCTACTGAGTACCAAGAGAATCCACTGCAAATTCAATGAGACCGCCTTTCATTTTTTAAACTGATCAGTAAGAGGCTGCAAGGCAACACTTAGGAGGTACTTTATCATTAGTTCTTTTAAACTTTTAATTAAATGCGTTAAACCTGAAAAATCTGCTGCATCAAGACAGCATTTAACATGTTAAATTACCCTATGGCCGAGAAGTTAGTTCAGTACTGGTGGCTCATTTCAACCCTTAAAGGTCTGCTGGAATCTGAGAGATGATGGATCATTTTATCTCCAAAGAAGCTACCACTGCATACAAGCACCATCCTCCTCCCCCCTCCACGGATTTGGGCAGAGTTGGCAAGACCTTGGCAAGGTTTGAGCATTGCTCATGGCCCTTTGTAGCCTGTTAACCTGTGATAAATTTCACCTTTGTAAAAGAAGTGCATTTGCTGCAGGTAAAGTTGGATTATAATGCCGTTCCTGAGGACTGTCTGCTGGTGCCATCAGAATCACCTCTGGGGTAACTAGCTGCCATGTCACAGAGTGCTGAATTCTTGCACACAGGCCTCTGCCATTACAGGGGAAGCATCCACTGGGACATTTAAGCCAAGGGGGACCTCTAGCTTCACAACTGACTGGACAACTTAAAAGAGTGAAGCTCCTATCTGCAGCAGTGATACAGCACTCCACAACATCACAGCTTGTCACCATGGAAGTGATGCTGATGGCAGGATCACACAATCCATGAGAAAATCTTCTAATCAAATTCTGCTGTAAATGCGCTTATTGCACTGTGTTGACATGCCGCCAGTAAACAGGTTTTGGCTGCCAGTGACATGCAGCTCACCTTGCATACATTTCATAGTATACACACACACACACACACACACACACACACTTCATATGAAATGTCTCCTAGGACGGAGGCAGACAGGGTTCCTTGGGTGAATTTGATATCTTTTATTAGACCAACCCAAATGGTTGGAGAATGGTTATTAAGCAAGCTTTCGGGTTCAAAAACCCTTCGTCAGGCTAAGGAAGCTTCAGCAGTTGGTGTGTGCTCTTCCTGGATGGAATGAAAAGTCTCCGTCCTAGGAACTGACTGATGAACTCGCAAAAGAGTTACCTTTAAAGCCCATTCACAGTCATTAATGGCCTCCTCATACTCCTGCAACTTCAGGTAAGCCTGAAACCAAACCAGGACAGGATACAAACAGCAGCATATCAGCAACAAGTCACATACTTAGCATGTCTACAGCATTTTCTGTGTTCAAAGCAGCGTATAAACATGAACTAATTAATTAAGGCAGTAGGTTTTAACCCATGGGAGTGCCGATATATTGATTTTTGCAAGCAATTAACCGCTACTCCTTCACCTTCCTGATGGCACCCTGCAACTGTTCGTCATTTTTCAAAATTAATTAAAAACAAGTCAAGCTCAACATTCACACAGGTCTGAGCCAAACTGATGGGAGACAGGAGACAGGTCCTTAGTCAATGAGGAAAACCATTACTCATCTTTCATAATAAAAATGTAGCCTGAAAGAATAAGCACCTGGCTGAAATTCCCATCACCAGCTAATACAGCGGAAAGATGGAGCCGATCATCACCTGCGAGTGATATGGAGACCTAAGGCAACACACAGAGGAAGGCCCAGGGCAAACTACCATATTTGCTGTGCCTCGGCCCTGTTTCAGCACATCTACCACACATTCAGCCCCTGGAAGCTGGTTTGGGTTCACAAGCTCGATGATCCCTTGTTCCATCAGCATGTTAGTGCAGGCTATTTTGCACCTGAAGCAATACATGGCAGCAAACACTCTGCAGCTGACCTGCGCTCTGTTTGTGTACAGCTCCGGCATGTCCTTCCGCTTCTCCAGCCCTTCCGTGTATCTCTGGACAGCTGTGCCATAGTCTCCTTTACTGAACGCATGGTTTCCCTTCTCTTTCAGCGCTGCAGCAACAAGAGACACAGGTTTTAAATGTCATTTCTTCCAACTGTAAACACAGGAAACAAAGGCCATGTTCTTCTGCTGCCCCCTATGCTAAGAACTCCCATTCCCTCTCCTCTCTTGGAGCAGTCTTCACTGGCATGTAACAGGCTTCTCTCTCTGTGTTTCCATTAATATAGCTCTCTATATTTACACTTCAGGGTGAATTTCTCTTGCTCCCCCAGCTGTGGGCATCCTTATCAGACGGGGGACAGCCAGTGACCGCACCAACTCATGTGAACACCCAGGGTTCCCTTCCACTCAGTGCTGTGAACAAAATCAACGTGCACGGCAGCGTGGTTAACAGCCTAGCTCAACTACCTCTTAATCCAGCTCTGCTCCCTCTAAGCAGTTCTTAGTCAACATCAGACATCTAAAAACTACAGCAATTACCGTTCGCTAAGCCTTCGTTTTTCTTCCTTCTTCTGGCTCGCTCTTGTGCATCCTCCTCCAGGGCTGCCAAAAAATCACCTTTGAGCAGGGAAGTTAGGATGGTATTTCAGTTAAAAAATAAAAAATAAAAAAAGAGAGAGAGATTTCCTCATAAAAAATGCAAACCAATGATGAGATAAAAGTCACTTAGTCACTTCTAAGCTACAATTTCTCCATGAAGAAAATCTTAAGGGGACATTTCATTACTCTGATATTAAATGGAACATAGGTTTCATAGTTCATAGTTGGTAGGGTCAGAAGGGACCTGAGGAGATCATCTAGTCCGACCCCCTGCCATGGGCAGGAAAGAGTACTGGGGTCAAACGACCCCGGCCAGATGTTCATCCAGCCTCCTTTTAAAGACCCCCAGGGTAGGAGCCAGCACCACTTCTCTTGGAAGTTGGTTCCAGATCCTAGCTGCCCTGACTGTGAAGTAGCGCCTCCTGATGTCTAGTCTGAATCTACCCTCTGCCAGCTTGTGTCCGTTGTTACTAGTCACTCCTGGGAGTGCTCGGGGGAACAGGGACTCCCCCAATGCCTGCTGGTCCCCCCTTGACTAGTCTGTAGACGGCCACCAGATCCCCCCTCAGCCTTCACTTGTGAAGGCTGAACAGGTTCAGGTCCCATAGCCTCTCCTCCTAGGGCCTGCCCGGCTGCCCCTCACCATGTGGGTGGCTATTACACATAAAGGCTGTAATACTGCTCAGGATTTGCATACCTGGCTTTTTAAGTAGCTCATCTCTAGGAGATGGGCCTGTTTTTTAATTCAGAATAATGAAGCTCCACCATGTGGGTGGCTATTACACATAAAGGCTGTAATACTGCTCAGGATTTGCATACCTGGCTTTTTAAGTAGCTCATCTCTAGGAGATGGGCCTGTTTTTTAATTCAGAATAATGAAGCTCTTTGGTGAGAGCTGGGGAACACCTAGAAAAACTTCCTTGCTATGCATAATGCAGCCAAGCGTATAGGACTCTTTAATATAAGCAATTGCAGGTTTGATCCAGCCCCATTAAGTAAAAACATTCCTACTGACTTTTGTGGGAGTAGGACCGGGCCTGGCATGAAATAGCAGCAATTAGTTTTCTCTATACAAAAAACTCATAGCGGGTTAATGACTGAAGAGGAGAATGCCATCCTACCTGGGTTTTCTGTCTTCACATTGTGGGTGTCCTGAAGAAAAAAAAAAGGAACGCGTGACAATCGCACCCAAACACACGCACAAAACAAAGGAAGTTTTGAACTGGAAAGAAACCACGTTTCTCTGAAGTACAGGTGTGTGCATCACGCGTATTTCTGAAAGTAACTCAAAACGCAGTTCTGTGACAACGTGTCTCTCAAAGCACGAGCAGCGTTTTTAAACCTGTCAGAACTAATCCCATCAGGAACATTTAAAACCACAGAAACAGAGAAAACAAACAAGTCAGTGCTCAGGCTGCCTCTTTCAAAAAATCAATGTGGCTACGAGTTTCTGCCAGACTCGTCGCATGCCCCACGTCACGGCTGCAGCCTGGCGCTTTCCACGGCGGCCACGAAGAACTCGGGCAGGCGGCACAATCAAACACGCCTTTTAACTGTTGAAGTGCCACGAAATATCGATGGCTATTAATTATAACATTTGTCTTATAATCGCTTACGATAATCCAAACACGCCTTTTAACTGCTGAATTGGCACGAAATATGGATGGTTATTGGTTATAACGAATGTGTTATAACGACGGGAACAGCTATGGGCACTAAAACGGCCCCGCAGTACGCCAACCGGTTTATGAGCCACCTGGAAGACGACTTCCTCCAGAAGGGCCCCATCAACCCCTTGCTACACTGAAGATACACGGATGACATCTTCATCGTTTGGACTGAAAGCTTGCAATCTCTGATCGAGGTCCATCAGAAATTCAACAGTCGCCATCCCTCCATCCGACTGTGTCTAGAATACACCACCATCTCCTTGTTAGACACGGTGATCAGTATCCAGAAGGGTAAAATGCAGACCGCAGTGTACAAGAAACCCACGGACCACCATACAGATCCGCACAGAACCAGCAATCCCCCGAAACACGCCGACAAAGCTGCGCTGTGCGGCCAAGCCCTCAGATACCACCGCGTTTGCACTGAGGAGCACACCCGGGATCGCCACCTCGCCGACCTCATCGCCAGAAGCAAACTTCCCCAGGCCCAGAGCGCACCCAACGGACAGGACGCAGGCCGTGCCAGGACAAGACAGGCAACCCCCCCTCCCCCCTTCCCCGCC